ATGATAGCTCTTTTTAATTTATGCTATTCCGGTCGGATTATAGAATGCGGAATATACTTTCCCTATGCCGCTAAATCGGAAATGTCTAATCCATTATCTATTTAGTATATAGCGGAACGAATTTCATACATCCTGACCTTGATTTTCAATTAACGACTTACAGAATATTTCTGTGGCTTGTTTTCCTCTGTTTTGTTGGTTGATTTCATTGACGTTTATAGCTTTGATTTCATTCCTTCTGTACAAGTAATTATACAGATCCTCATAAGTCAGTGTTGTTTCTTGCTTGGTATCATCATCACCGCTTTGCCTCGGTTGTAGTGTTTTTGATGGTATTTTTGATGGACTATGAGTATTCATCTAGGATCTGTTAACAAAAAAAATCCTGTTTAACAGGAGAATTCTATCCATTTAGCGAACGAAGGATCTTTTAAGTGTCTTCTGAAAGATCTTTTGGTGGATGAGGATGAGACAGAGTTCATCAAGAAAACAGCTTTCGTGATTACTCACTTGGAGATTCAAACTCATCTCCTGGGCCCGGTTGCATAAAGCTCTCTTAAGATAAGAGCATCGTAAGTATTGTCCTAAAACAATAGTCCATTGTACTAAGACAATACTTACGAGTGTTTTTAAGCTTTTATATATTAAAAGATCTTTATGCAACTGGACCCTGAGCTGCATGAGAGAGCATGTTACTGCACCGTTGACTTCATTCACAGCACTCAGACATTTAGCTATTCAACATTGAGGTCAATATTGAAAAACAAATGCAGACGAATATTAGATAATCTCTCTTTGAGTTGAAGAAACAATTGTGTTTAATATGTATTTTTTGGTTAAACTTTCCTATGGTTAAACTTTTCAAAAAGTTTTTTTAATTAGATTTCTCAGTGACTTGCCCGAACGGACAATTCTTTGCATCTCCTAACTTCCTATCGGAATCTCTGACTCGAGTAGACATTAGTTCTCCCTTTGATTTAGTAAAAGATTGTTTTGAGAAGAAAAGTTAATTAGAAACTCACTGGAGCGAATACAGGCGATCTTTGATAGTACTAACGGTTAATGATTCTTGCGAAAATTGTGGCAACCATTTAAAAAATACAATAGTCTTAGCTTCTGACAAGCACGGCGGTTCTGAACAGAGAGTAGTCTATTTTGCTGCTCGATTCATGGCGGTAAAATTGTAAAAAAAGCTGGTCTTTCAAAAGCCAAAACCAGGCTGAAATAACAGACAATGCATGTCTATAAATACAAAATACTTCTCTTTGCTTTTGACTTCAAAATTCAATGTATTACTTTAATTGGGRCTTGAATAGAACAATTTTTTCGCACAGTAGTTGTAAGCTACAACTGCTACGGTGATGAAGGGCTGTTTTTGTTTTTAGCTTAAAATCAACTAATTTATCATGATATATTAAAGCGACTTAAAAGCTTATAGCGAATTCCGTGGATTTTATTTGATTTACGAAAGAAGGCAAAGCTTCACTCCTTCAGTACTTATCACAAAGATGGAACAGCATTTTTCAACATTATTCAATCATATTCAATCATTCAATCATATATATATATGATTGAATATAAACCCGTATTGTTGGCTCTAAATGGCTATATTTTATATAAATAAACTTCCATGGATAGCGAAAAAGTAAGTAAGATGAAAATATTATAACGAATAACACGAAAAAAATCGACAAAATAGCGAAGATAATCTATAAGAGGAAATGTTATATTTCATGGTTCAAAATATTTTAGATTATATTAATATATATATTTCGTACCTTACCAAAAATTAACCATATTTTCTTCAGAGCATCTTGTTTTAGGACTTAAAACGGATTCCGCCGATTTGCTTGCTTACTGAATTTCCAAATTCTAAAGAAATACTATTCTAGACTTCATTCTAATACTTGAAGATATAAATGCAAGTGCTTAGCTCAGCTAAGACGTACACTGACGTATTATCGGCAATGCGGAATAAAATTGGACGGCCATCAATGATTTCATGATGAGCATACGTATCGTTATTGATGCACTCGAATGACTTCTAAATTGAAAAATATTTCGTACTTTGTACACCGTTTCCCCCAATATCAGCAGGTTGTTACTTCAGATGTCAGCAGAGTTTCTTCAGTGTCATTTCATTCGAACCAAAATGGCACCCTCTAAACTCGTTCGGAGTTAACCAGATTAGCTCGAGAAACGCGCGCCAAGGATTATTGTAGTTGATGAGGAAGTCCTAGTTTCAGTCGTTTATCGGCGAACAAAAAGATATAATTTCACGATAATTTCGTCAAAGAGTTGAAACCACAATGCACCATTTGACCCATAGGTATTGGTTATAAGAATAGGTAGAATTTGAAATGCATTGCGTCCATAAAGTAGCTAGGAAAGCAAAGATTCAGAGTAATTTTCTCCGACTGCGGCCGAACTTGTTTCTCCCCAGTAGATTCGTTGGACCACCTGATCATATTTCTTTCTGCCCACTGATTGGCTGTTTTTTGATGGGCTGTCAAAACGAGATCACCCGGAACGGAACAAACTGTCTAAGTTCCACTTAGTTTCTTGTATTTTCCATTCCCAGTGACTCACATTTCCAAACATTCCCGTCATATTCTAGTGCAAAAATAACTAGTCTTCGGCATTTGCCACCTTTAAGGACCCTCCGTTACTCGCCGTCACTGATCTATTCATTCTAAGATTAATTTCCCGTCAATAAATTTAGTTCTAGGATTTTCAGTTAGAATTGCCATGAATCACGTTACATTTTGTTATCTTTTTTAAATATACGGCGGCCATCTTGAAAATTATTTTTTATTTATTTTAAAGATATTACGGGCTGCCGAGGGAAACTATTGAAATCATAGACTTTACAGCTGTATTGGTGTATGTTTATATTACGTTAAGCTTTCCGATGAGAAACATATCTAAAAAGCATGCGCAATTGAATGCAAAACACCGAGAGAATTATTCGGAAAACCTCACCCAGCCACTCCCTTGGCATCGCATAGTTCAAGATGGCCGCCGTATCAGTAAAAACTGTCTATTCTTCTTTGATAACTTCTAGTTTTGCCCCTGCATGGTGTCCATTCATCAGATACTGCCGCACATCTTAATGTTCCACTGTGACTGCTCTTTCATACCTCGCGACCAAACAGTTTCATCCAACCCTGACCAATCCTGACTGCAGCTGATTGTTAAAACTCAGGACTAGTCAAAACATATGCAGAAATCCAGACAGAAAAACTTGTTGTTTTGGACCAATATTCATGTCGAGTCGATTCATTTTAACAAGAAGGTTAATTATAATTACACATTCAGGCAAGCCTTTGGGCACTATGAAATCTATTCAAAAACCTCATTATCCTGATAAAAAATAGTGTTCGAGTTACTGATGACGACTTGACTATGACTTGCTTTTCGTATGACTTGCTTTTCGCCTAATGATCATTATGTACGTAGTAGTGGTATAACCCGGAGTAGTAAGCGATGAAAGCCGAGGAATTCTCTAGAAGGGCCTACCCAGCCGTGGGAAATGGCACAATATAAAGCACTTATCTAAGCCGGCGGGGTAAGGACCCAGAGTAGGCCTGCTAGAAACTGCTCAAGCTCGCTGTAAAGTTATACATTTTTTAGCAAAGTTCTTATAGTATTAGTTTCCTAATTCTTTATATCTCCATGCATCAAAAGCCGCATACTACCGCCAAAATATATGGTTTTCATTTCTTGTCATAATCATTTTTACGCTGAAGCTCATTAGCTAGAAGCTCAGTAAAGATTGAATAAGACTGTTCAAGACTAACGGATTCTGTAGAACTATGTGAGCATGTTTTAAAGTTGTTGTCTGTTTGCACTGTACTTACACTTCCTCCTCTCTTAGTATAAGGCAAGACGATCTAAATTTATTTTAAATCAAAAACAAGAAAWAAGGATTTCTGTATTAATTGTCGAGAATATAATCTTTTCATTGAGGTCTAAACGATCACAGTTCAGAGTCAGTTCTGATTATAGCCGACGAATTCTAAGGTAACTCAGATCAAGATCGTTAAAGTGCAATACATGGTTTCTAAGAATAATTCTGAGTGAGAAAAATCTTTAGTTTTACTTGTTAAATGCGAGCAGCGATAAAAAATTGAATTACAGCACATCTTCAAAATAATAATTCAGTCTTGTAAAGCATTTGACCGTGGAGCCGAGCATACTTGCCTTGATTTGGAACCTTGAACAGAGTTGATTCTTGAAAGCGAAGCTTCTTTTATTCTTCGCTCAAAAAAGCCCTTCGTGACTTCGAACATGGGTTTTTGATGTTAATACACACAATTTGTCTTGTAGATGTTGGATTTTGTAGATCCTGGAAAGATACTCCCCTAATAGAGGTTAACCTCGACTGCACTTATCAACGATATTGACTTGGGAATTGTTGACTTTAATAAATCATTCTTGTCATTCTATTATTATAATCCATCTATTATTGATCATAAGATTTCAATAGACTTTACGTGGGCTGGACTTAAGCTTCTCATAAATAAATTGCATGCAATCATATAAAGGTTCCAAAATGAAAATTAGAACTACTTAATTGAATTAAATTATTGGAGCTTTACTTAATTTTCTGTTTGCAGGACGAAGCAGTCTTTTTCCTTCAAGGAATCTGTATAATTATAATCTAAAGAATTCAAAACTGCTGTCATCTATGTCGGTATCCATGGGTGAATGACTTCACCACAAAGTTTTGAAAACTCTTGCGTCGATCGGTGTCAGTTAGTTGACGCATGATTGCCTTAAAAGCCACTGCACTATGGAATCAGGCATTTCTCAAACGTACATTCGTTTGACATTCGTTATTAGTTATGAAGCTCCAATAAAATATGATGACTTTCCGACTATGTCTGTTATTAGAATTCTAATGAGCGACTGAGAGTTCTCTCAAAAAGAAAGATAATGTCGATGTTAATTCGTGCTTTCGATAATCATTCAATATTCAGTTTAACAGTTATGAATAGGTATGAGACATGCAAGACTGGATGGGAAACTCCCTYGTTTTGATGGAAAGAGGCTTAGTCAAGCAAGACATACCCAACACAGTAAACATCGACCGCTAATGTATTCACCAAGGATCCGCGAAAGCTATAGCCCATATAGTGTCGCTATAACCTCAAATTCTGCATCCTTTTAAAAACTTTAAAACTTGTCCCGGTTAGAAAGGGATACCCTCTTCATCGAGCTACCCTGGGCGAGCTAACCTTTCCCTATTTTCTTTGTAAATTCTCCTCGACCGTTAATATGAGATATTTTAGTTTTCCTCGTCTAGAAGGGCCACCCCCCTATTAGGGTTACTCTCTTATAGCGAAAGAGGGTGACCCTGGCACCCGGGACAACTTTTCCCCATGTAAACAATTCAACTCGCCTAACCGAGTCAACTTCTTAGTTTGAGCATGCGTACTGGCTTGAGTCGGTCAACGACAACGTTTTTGAATTGACTGTATACATGGTCGACAACGTAGAACTACACAAGGAAAGTATAGTAGTTACACGAGAACAACTCAGTTTAAGTCATCGAAAGAACTAGAAAGCAGTTTAAGATGGCAATCATTTCAAAAGAGGCAACCATATCATACGCGGACAAGAGAAAAGTGAAGTATCAAGTCAATCAGTACATGCTCGTCATCTAAGGACCTTGCGTGTTGATATATTGTCTGGGATTGAACCCCGCCATATTAAACCTCCCTCATGCATGATAAACCTAACCGGGACTGGCTGTTCTTCAACAACTCAAGACTCCTTGCCCGTGTAAGACAAAAGAAGCTTCGAGAACCTAAGTGAAGCGGATCAACACAAGAGTAAAACTCCAGAATTAATCAGTGTAAGGTGAATGTTTTAAAATCAGTAGTATATAAACTTTTTTTAATGTTTAAGTTTAATTTATTATATATATATTTATAGTTGAAAATGTAACACATCTGTTTGTACAGATTTTGACTATTGTGAACTTGCATAAGTCAGGGCAATGAACATCTACATACAGCGCCCAACTAGATCGGTTGTTTCACCGTTCATGCGGACGATTTTCGCCCTTAAATCTAACTAACATAAAAACTGAATATGTATATATTCAAAAATCTCAAGAGGCTAATTATTTTCTTGGCCTCTTTACTAGATTACTTGTCCTTTCAAATCCTCGTAGGATGTGTGATTTCAAGGGCAGATCCAGGGGGTTCAATGATTAGCCACCTCCTTTGGGCCGTTTGAAAATAATAAGAACAAAGAATAAGGCAAAATCTAAAAAGGATGTCAAAAATGACTTTCTAGATAACAGCCTAAAACTTTTCTTTTTAAACATTTTCTAAAACTTTTGTAATATTTAACTAAATTAGTTGACTCTGGCTTAATCTAATTAAAATTACAAATCAATCGTGGCTGCAACTTTCRCACTTTGTAACGTCCTTAAATTGTTGATATTTTTAGGGTAAGGCGAAGTATGATAGTAAGCCTATTTACAATAAAACCTTGGTAGTTTATCATTGGGTTTACGTGCTTGTATCTATAGGCACATTCTCTGAAATATCATAGTTTGTTCCTTGTTAGATATCAGTTACTTTGATAAGCAATCTCCTGGGATTTTTTCGTGTTTACTGAGCTGCGATCCTTGAGAGAAATGTTTCCCGCATTTTTCGCATCTGAATGGCTTTTCTCCGGTATGTATGCGGATATGGTTATTGAGCGTCGTGGCACCCGAGAACGAACGACAACAGTATCCACACTTAAATGGTTTTCTTCTCTGATGGATGACAGCATGCGTGCGCATCTCTCCGGAACTGGAGAAGCTTTCGTTGCAGTGTCCGCATCGATAAGGACGAAATGGAACTTGTGAGCAGACGTGAACTTGCAGCATCGCTCGTTGGGGAAACGTCTTTCTACACTGACCACATTTCCATATAGTTGTCTCGTTAGATTCAGCTTTGTGCGAGTTTTCGTCTGACGTAGTCTCAAATGAGAAGCCGCTGTCATTGGAGCTTGGCGTCGATGGACTGATTGATGAAGTTGGGCTTGGAACGACGGCAGAAGTTAACGTTGGTGATGCACTTCTGTTACTCAGAGGGGTGGGCTTTGTAGGGCTTGTAACATGACCATTGGTTGTTTTCAACGAAAATCCTCTGGATGAAAGAGCAATGGGCTTCTTTATCGAGGGAGAGTTGGAAGATGCCTTCAGTTGGTCTTGTCTTGTTGAAACCTCACCACTTGTTGCTTGGCCTGATGATTTGGTAGGTGATGCTATCAAGGCCCCAATTCGCCGAAAATTTGTTTGCATCTGAAGACTTGAATTTATCGGCATTGATAATTGTGATGGGGGTGTTGATGGGGACGTTTTGGCAGCTTCCGAGTTAAGACTAATTATTTGTTCTGTATTGTCATTGGTTGACTTGGATACCGGTGTATAACCGTTTGGTACTAGGGAGTCACCTGGTAGGATACAAAAAAATATTTTCGTTAGTAAGCTGCTTTGACAAAACAATGTTTTATTAAAAAGCTTTTTGTAAAAGCAGCAAGCAAGCAAGCAATTAAACCTAATGTATCACTCAGTAAGTAATGGTGGGCTACATACCTTTCTCAGAGAAAGCCACCTCAATCATACTCTTGCAGTCATTACCAGATCCTTTCAAATACTGTGTGTACATCTGGTCATACCAAACCAATAATTCCTGGCCAGGTTCAATGGTTTTATACGTGCGATAGTATATCTTGTTCATGTACTGGAAGGCGTAGAGGTTCTGTTCTTCCTCGTTCCGCACGCACCGAATAAACCTCATCCAACTGGCTGTGTTCTCGTCACTTCCATCTACGTAACCATAAAGTTTACCATCCTTGAAAATCTGAATAAATAAGAAACAAACATTATGATCATGACCGAGGGCTGGATTTGATTGAAGAAGCGATTTTCAATTCGGATCATTTGTATTCACTGAGTTCCAATCCAAAAAAAAAAACAAACAAACAACAAAGCAGTGGCCAAGACATAACGGTGCGCGCAAGATGCTAGCGTATTGAAATCAACGGAACTTGACTTAAAACATGATTATTCTGCAAGAAAGCAGGCTAGAATAGCTCTCTAACCAGTAAAGTGTCCCAGCTATAATAGATAACTCGAAATCTAGTTGAAACGATGGTTGAAAACACAAGAAATTGCTTGTTTTTTTATTTTTGTAAGAATATTTGAGCAGGGCAAGGCTTTGAATTTAACCCTCCCTAGAAGAAATATTTCCATATCTAGAAATGCATGTTTAAGTATTTTGTCTTCCAAATAAAATTTATCGGGAATGGCCGCGCAGGGACTTTGAATTATTTAATAACTTCATTTTTTTCCTTACCTCCCACATATATTCATTCTTTTTTACAGGAATTCTTCCATCAAGTTTCACAAGCTCTCCTTCATATGGTCCAATCCACGCACCGGCAGGAATGGACTTGGCAGCCTGGATTCCGATTTTCTCTTCATCAGCTGTGCTTGTCTTGAACAACTTCAGGGTATCTGGAATTGCTTGGTATGCGTAGGGTAGCTTGGTTGGCTTGTTGTGGGGAGCTGTCTTCTTTAGTGACGACTTAGTTCCATTTTCGTGGTAAGGGCATTTGAAATCTCCTTGGAAGCGCTTGGCATCGCACCCTTAAAACATGAAACATGGTAATTTTAATGAACTGATCAATTATTTTCATTAATTCACTAATTCATTAATTCATTAATTCATTAATTCATTAATTCATTAATTCA